CAACACCTTACCGAGCGTTTCTTGATTGACTTGATCGCTGACCACTGGCACCTTTTGTTGTCCCACAGTAATATAATGCATTCTTCGGGTAACAGAGAAGTATGGAGAAACGGACGTTTTATTAAATAAAATTTGTTTTCGTAGTAATGGTAAGCAACTGAGAATTCTCGGGCGCATAAGAATGAGGAAGAAAGAAGAAAAAATTTCTAGTGCAAGGCGGGTTTTCAAATTGGGTATCGAAAAAATTCAACAGGACCGGCAACGGCAATGAAAAGACAGAGGGCGATTCATGGACAAAGTTCCTCTCTATCTAGCTAAAATAAAGTAAAAAAGCATCGTATAATTAAATAAAATATCCGCTGTCAGAGTGGATATATGTCCCAAGAGATATATAAAAAGTAATAGGCAAATCAAAACGTTTATTCAATAGGTAAAATAGATAAAATAACAAAGATAAATAAATGATAGGGTAAGGGAATGGGTATGAGGGTGAGAGGAAAAATATATAAATGTAAATTAGTAAATAAATAATAAAAGGGACTGGTCTAAGATGATCTAATTTTGCACAAAAGCTTATATCCTGATAAAGACCCACTAAAGAATCCTGACCAAGCTTGGAGAGCGCTGGAGAATGACGGTTGCCATATATCACATGCTGATAAAAAATAAGATAAAAAAGTCAGTATCAAATGAATCATAAAAGAGGATAAGCTAATATAAATAAATAAAAACTTACCACAAAATATGCCATCTAGCATGAGCTTTGTGCAAGAAACTCGGGCCAAAAGGATTTTCTGGAGCTGCGCTTCATGATCATCGTTGGAGGAGGTTTGGTTGTGTTGTTGTTGTTGTTGTTGTTGTTGTTGCTGTTGCTGTTTTTGTTTTTGTAATAATAAGTTCAGGGACATCAAGTTTGACCGAAGATCGATAAGGATACCAAGGAACCAGCAATAGATAGATACCTTTTCCGCTTTCTTGCCAATAGAAGGACCAAATACACCCATCTTGTAAAAACAGAATAAATCATCCGCGACTTCGTTGCCGAGAGTAATAGCAAAGGTGCACCATGTTGCCAGAAAATGGAGAGGTCGTTTTTGCAGTGAAGAAGAAGAGTATGAATCCATCATATCACGGACAGTGCCGACACAGTGGCCTACCCTTAAAAGCTTGCGCGTTTGGGAAAAGTGGCTGACCATTGTTGACCATCGTTTCGTATCCACCCATCGATAATGTAATAAAATTTTGAATGCATATTGGATGATTTTGATGCTTTTGTCCCGACCTTCTAAATCAGAAATGTATTTCGAAATGATAGCCAATAAGGGAGCCGACGGTTGTTTTTTGCTGTTGTTGCTGTTGCGTTTTACGGGCGGCGTCGATGGTGCTAATAGTGTCGATTGTTTCACAGATAAATAGTCATTGCTTGAGTGGAATTCATCGTTGGGGGTCAAGATGGGATCGAAGAGTGCTGGCGCTCGTAATGAATCCTTATCAAGCTGCGCTAATAAGGTTGTCGGTGACGCGGAGCGTGGTGGCGATGACATAGGCGAGGGCAAATAGGTGTTTCGTTTTGATACGTTCGATGACATTGATGATTTGATAGAATGGAGAATAAGGGGTAGGGTCCGGTGAAAAGAAAAAGAAAGGGGAAGGGGGTGAAAAGGATATATATAAAAGAGAAAAAGAAAGGATAAAACAAAGGGAGTGAAAAAAAAAAATATTTTTTTTATTGCCGTAAGGGTAATTTCCGTGGAAAAGAGGCTGTTCCGCGGAAAGACACATACTAATTCTATTTTTGGTGGTCGGAGGCGTGGGTGTATCAATCCATCTAATAAGCAGAGATATCATGACCAATGAGTAACCGCATATCATATTCATGTCCTTTCCATTTATTTTTATATTTTATTTATTTATTTATTTTACCTTGGCTGAAGAATAGATCCTTCTAATCATCCAATACGCACTAAAGAAGCCAAGACAACCATTTGAGAGCCCAATAAGCACACATCCCAGTAATAAATGTATAACATATATCATTCCGCCGGAAAAGTCGTCAATATTGGTTTTGGTCATAATATATATCAATCCGTACCTATAATCATATTGTATCAGTAAATACTATACAGCACAATATATATATATATATATAAATATGACCTTATTTACTTACACAAACATATACATCGACGAAGAAGCACCGACAACAAAAGACATCCACCACCAGTGATAATCCTAAAAAGAAACATTGTATTCGTTGAATTTATTCACATGGCTCATCCATCACACCCTCCTCTCCTGATCATCTGACTTGTAATTACCTCATTGCATAGTTGGAAGAATATCAAAACCATTGACACCTGCGAAGTTGTGATCGCCATCACCAAGCATGACAATACCAAATGAGGAATGGAAATATAGAGTTCACCGCGCCATGACGATTTTAGTAATTCATTGAGATCGATAAACACAACTGCAAAAGGTATAACACCGCCCAAGAGAATACTAGAAAATCAAAAAATTAAAAAGCCAAAATTAGTATTTTTTTTTTCTGAGCAATTTCATGTTTCTTTTGTTGGCGGAATACCTGATGTTGTATTGTTGGTACCATCGTTTACTTGGAATAAGTCTAGGCATCTGTGTTGTCCGAACAGGGTGCTCTATTTTCTCACATTGATTTCCAAAGTAGCTGCCAAGGAGAGTCAGTGGGACCGCCAGGAATACCCACATAAGCACCATCGAAGCCCAACCACGAAAAGAGATCACTAGCGATGATTGTGCAGACCAGGCAAAAACACTCTGTGTAAACAGAACAAGAGCTAGAAAACCAGTTAACATGAGTGATGTCTAAGCAAGAGCGAAAGAAAGGAAACAGTAAATATAGTTCTTATATCATCACAGATATATATATAAAAGCTTACCAAAACAGCATTGAACATCCATGACTTGCCACGAAAGACCTTATATATCCTTGCACTCCAGTACCCTGCAAAACAGCTAAATAAAGTAGAGATATTAATAAAACATCTCCATCCGGAATAGACGAACGCAAAAAACCTGCCTTGATGGAACGTAAAGTTTGATGAAGGATGAGATCAAAGATCCTGGTTTGGCAATGAATATCCATCCTCTATATACCATTCCTAAGAGCGCGAAAATAAACCAAAGTTACAAAAACATACGCTACAGCCAGCTACCCACATTAATTCATAAGAACTTACCAATAATCATCGCTGCGATGAAAAAAAGTTGGATTCCAGTGCCAACGACAGGTGCCAATAACCCTCCATAGATAGGCCGACGGAAAACATCACGGTGTATTAATCTCCATCCGATCACATCTTCAAAATCATCATGAACCTAGTGAGATATATATATATAATAAAAAAAAGGACACTGAGGGTTCTGCCCTCTCTACAAATACTATGCATCCTACGCCTACTTACATCGTCATGAAATGCTGAGACATCCTTGTTGAGAGTCTTCGTCATGATTACGCCGATAACCAAAGATAACACCAAAACCATAACAGCCATGTTGATAGTTGCAATAAAGTAAACATCAGACCGAGGAGGTATCAAAAACGTATCCCAGCGATTAGTAGGCGTTGCTGATTGTACACGTTTCCACTTGACTGCGTAAGTAAATGTCACACTCGTTCGTCGTTCCGTCACCTGTTGCTTTTCGTGGTCGATGGTTTTCCGTTGACATTCACCGGATTTCATTCTACCCGATCATGATAATAATAATAAAGAATCAGAACTTCCATATCAGTCTTGATCGTCACTTGACTTGTAAACCAACACTTACGATTCTGGGTAAATTTCAAATCCTTTGATATCAATTTCTTCAGTCGGATTGTCGCTATTTGTGGCATACAGTATATTGAAGGTAACGTGGTTGTTGATAAATATTTTGCCATCCTGACAAAAAACAAAACGATAGATCAGTAACAGATCTCTAGCAAATACTATCTATATACAGTATACTTACAATCACTTGACCAAGTGGATAACCCACACGATAAACAAGCGTACTGATTTCATTGGTATATGACGCTGTGGCACCAGGAATATCGTCTAACCACCTATCGAAAAAGAGTAAAAAGAAATGTCAACATGCATCGTACTACAAGTTTTTGGCCAAGGGGAGAAGAATGTGCTTTTACCATTCCACTTGATACCCATTGTGTATCAGCTCTTTGGCCTTCATAGCATCTGAAACTGTCCAAGGCTGTGTACATAGTATAGCGCATTCTGTGTTTTCTAAGGCAGTAATCTAATAATAAAACTTATGATTAAAAACGAGTAAAGCATAATATCCAATGATTTACCTTGTAATCGCTTTTGATAGGTCGATCGCCCGTAATATCTTGATCAATAGTGAGCCAGCTCCTTTCTAAGGCTCTGTCTTGCCAGGTTTTCTGCGCGTATGGAGGACAGATGAAAGGTAGCGATGAGTAGGCGAATGGAAGCTGTGTTTTGTATGAATGGATTTTGTTGTATAAAAGAGGGATGGAATCTCCTTTTTTAAATGATGTCGCATGAGCAGTACAAACAAAGCATAGATATAGATAAAAGAATGTTAGAGCATATCGGTTCGTCATGACCGACGACGAGCTAGAAGGAAGGGTGTTGAAGATAAATGAATGATGAAGAAAAAAAAATTGTGTGTCGAAAAAAAAAAAAAAAAAAAAAAAGAGGCAGGGAATTTTGTTTCATACCCCGCCACCGCCTATCAATGAAAGTGATTGGCCCATTGTATGATGTCGAGTAATGAGGCATTACAGCAATAAAACATTGCGTTTAACAAATTAAACGGCACATATCAGTGTAATAACCATAGCTGTTCTATTTAATTTTGGCTATGATATTCTATCAATGCGTTAGAAGGTGTTCATACCACTCAAACCATTGAATGAAATAGCGGATAAATGTTTGCCGGCGTGCTTCCAATCTTTTGGTTTTATTACAGAATTTATTACAAAAATTTTGATCATTGTGGGGTTTATGGTGTAGTGGTATCATTCACGCTTTGGGTGCGTGAGGTCATGGGTTCGAACCCCATTAAGCCCCGTTTTTGCTTCGTAAAGACATTATCTTTTTGGTTTTTTTCGATTTGACTATGTTATGGCTATTTTTAATTGTCAGTGAGTAACTGGGATGTGTTTTTTAGATTTGTTACGGGTATTTTTGAGTTAATAAATAAAAGTGATGTACCAAATATGTACGGTTTGTTGAAATATTATACGCCGAAACGGTGTGAAGTTAACCTTTTAGTTAAGTTCAAGTTGTATTTTACACCAAATAGATAGTGTATAAGTGTTGTTACGGCTAATTTTGGTTGCTAGGGCGTAACTGGAAATTGTTTTTGTAGGTTTTTATTTTTTATAGAGTGAGCACCAGAACTTTTTAGGATTAAGTTCAACCGATTGTAGCTTCAAAGGCTTAAAGATAATAAAGGACGATACTTGAAAGTCCAAGTGAGGATGTATTATTTTCAAAGATGAAAATAATAAGGTCAATAAAATAAGTAGTGACTTAGATCAAGTCAAAAAAAATAAAGAGAAGCGAGATTCAGACTCAGCTGTCAAAAATATATAATAAAAGTATTCCAAAGTGTGGAATAATAGGAAGCCAACAAGTTGGGAGGTTTAAAAAAACCTTTATAATTTATTTAAAAATAAGTGATCAAAGATAAAAATGTTCAAAGATAATTTTTTTTTCTTTTTGATATTTTTTTTCAAGGTATTTATACTAAAATTTTTAAGGTTCAAGACATCGTGCTTGAAACCATGACTACAGTACTGCCGAAAACCCCGCTACTCCCGTAAACCATCTTGCTTCCGTAAACCATCTTTGTTTCATCTCAAACAATTCTCAAGGTTGAGTTCAACCGTCACAGTGTATTCTTGTTCTTGCGTGAACGGATTTGCAGCGAGGACCAAAATATATTTTTCCCCTGAATCGGAATTTGAAATGTCCTTTTTTATTTACTTGACCTGTAGTCTTGAAAATAGAGAGTACCAAATATCCAAATAAATTATTTAATATAAGTAAAAAGTACCAGATATGTTATTGGTAATAAGTAGTGAGCACCAGAACTTTTATAGATAAAGTCCAACTTGAAATAAAAGAAGTTTTATAAAGAAAACTTAGTAAAATAAAATAAAGTAAAAGTATTGACCTTAGCTGGTTCAACAAAAATAAAAAAAGAGTATCACTGACTCTGAAAATAAAATAAAGTGGATTTCTATAGCAAAATAGAAATAAGAGATAACTTGATAGTTATAAAAAAACCTTTATACTAAACTTTTATTTGACTAGTGAGTAAAGTAAGATAAAAAAACTAAAGAAAAAATAATTTCTTCGAAAATGTCTGGCTATTTATACTAAAATAAACGCTCTGGCGCTTCGCTGGAGCTTTTGGAAATCTTTCGATTTACTGGGTGTCACAGTTTTTGGTTAAAGTGTTGGTTTCGATGGGATAGGATTAAAGCCTCCGCCATTTCGCACTTTGGTGGGCGGCCCCTTGGGGCTAAACCGTCGTGCTCAATGCGTCGTTAATAGATACTCTTTTTTGTGTGTGGTGAAAAATGGAAGGTCGAAAAATAGGGTGACTGAACCATTCGCACTCCGCCTCTTATGGATTTAAATTTTCTGTTGGCCCTTTTTTTTTCTTCCCCTTTTTTCTTTCTTTTTTTCTCAGAACATCAACTTCAACTGTGGATTTAGTGATCTTGAATTAGTGGTTAGAACTTGAATCAGGGGCCTTTTGAAAAGTGCAATGCAAACATCATGGGAAAACCCTTTCATTTTGGATCTAGGTTCTGAAACCTTCATTAGATAGTTTCTTTGGAGCCTTCATTAGCTTAGTTTGTATCTACATCTGAATAAAACATGTCCTATTTTACTTGCGTCAATGAAAATGTCCCATAAGTTACTCATGATTTGTTTTGTGTAATGGAGCCTTTTTTAACATTACCCCTAAAGTATGTTGTTATACTACAGTAAAAGTAAAAGGATCCGTCTAGACTTTCTCCTGCCTGTACAGTACATAGACCCTTTTTATAGTATTCCTTTTAATTTAGTGTTGGCTATTCTTTAAATTCCATATCAGTCTCCCTCAATCTTCTTGCCGTAGGTCTTTTCATCAAATCCGCTGTTGCAATGAATCCCCGTCTTTAGTTTTAATATCTAATAATATCTACTAGTATATACCAATATACTTCAAAAAAATGTCTCCTTTTTACTTATTCTGACACATAATATAGTGAACAAAGTCTCTATTATAACTGTTTTTTGAGTGTCTATTATGCACTTGCTTTTTAAATTTCCCACTATGACTACATTTTTCCCGTTATAGGTCCGAGGAACTGGCTGAAAGTATTAGATTATTTACTATCAAAGATAGCCATATTCGTACTCGACCGACCATGCAAGTAATTTTAAGGTGCGATGTGCATGTGGCTGCCGCAATAGGGCATTTTACTCTTCCTTCTAGTATATATTTAACTGCCCAGATACCTAACGGCTGATTTTCACAGTTCTAAGTAACTCAAAATGAAACGTAGCCATATCCCTGCTCTATCGTTCATATTTATAAACTCGGCTGTACATACAGCCACCGTAGCGTTTGCTGAAGTGAACATATTGTATATGTTTTTTTTTAGGTCTTTGGATACACCTCTAACTTTTTTTTTATTGGTATCTAGAGATACATCTTGTTGCCATATATGGATTTGGAGAGACCTCCGAATTACCAGACCCCGCGCTATCGCATTTTATTATTTTTCTGTCACGTATAATTTCATTTAAACAGGGAAAAGAAGCTCTTGATAATTATCGTAAACGCAATGGTGGACAACCATCACTTTATTAATATACTGTGTAAAGAATGAGTTATTTTATCCATTAGAATAAAATAAAGGCCAAACTATATGGGCAATAACCCATTAAAAAAAAAAAAAACGTTATCATCGTTACGCACCCATAGGTAAGTCCAAGGTGCTGGTCCACAAGCCCAAATGGTTGACGAGGTGAAAGTTATCCATTGCATACACAGCACACTAACGTTTTTCGCTTTTTTTTCGCCTGTACGCACCTCGCACACTGTGTATATTTATTGAACATATTACGGAGTATGGCAGCTCGATGAAGTTACCTACTTAACTCATCCTGTTTTTTAAGGGTACACATATCTACACACACAGACATACGCGCCAGCTTTCGCCCCCTTACACACATAGAACCCATTCGACAAGACAATCAAACGTATGAGAGAGACTAATGATGCATAAAACAGAGCGTATTTTATTCATATGTATACACAAACTTTGACAACTAACACTCAGCAAAGCCTAAACGGCGATTTCATAAGACTAAACTAAGATGAAGGCTATTCTAATGTTAAATCCAAATGAAAGGGTTTCCCCATGGTGTTTGTATTGCATTTTTCAAAATGTCCCTAATTCAAGTTCTAACACTAATCCTAGATGACCACTACCTCATTCACACTTCAATGAAGATAAATGTTCTACAGGAAAAAAAAAAAAAAAGAGAGAGAGAGAAGAAAGAAAAGTGGATCATGCCAATGGGAAAAAGTTATTTTTTCAAACCCCTATCTGAGGACTCTAAGTGCGCTGCCAATAAAAAGGTTCGGTCACGATTGAAATAAATAATATTTCTTCCCACCCACTTTTTTTGCTTCCTTTTCTTTCCTTCTTTCCTTCTTTCCTTCTTTCTTTAAACAATATGTAACTCGTAGGAAGCTATAGTCATTGCATTGGATTTCCACCTTTTACCTCCCCCCTCTCATCCATTTTATATTTCCATGGATTTCTACTCTACTTTTTTTTTTTTTTTTTTTTTTTTTTTTTTTTTTTTTTTTTTTTTTTTTTTTTTTTTTTTTGGAGAGCTTTGTGGCTCAGGAGTACACTAGTCGCTCATGAGGGAAGCTTTTTCCTTTGTTGATAAGCATCGTGTCTCATTCAAGGTGACAGTACCTTATGGGGAAAGCTTTTTCCTGAAAATTAGTTACGTCTTCCTTCTTTTTTTTTTTTTCCTCCTGGGTATTATAGTATAGTTTTTCTATTTTTCCAATGGGGCGGCTTTTCTACAAATAATTTTTGGAAGGGGTAATCGTTGCTTTATGCATCGTACGACCCCTAGTTTATAAAATGAAAATGAAAATAAAAGGTGATGGGAAAGAGGAATATAATAGGAAACGCTTTGTTGATTTGTCTCTTCGTTGTAGACTTCTTTTGAACATACACACTGCCTCTCTTTTGCTTTCTCTATTACAAATGAATTTCTTAGGTGTAGTCTAGTTATTATTTATATTTATTTTGTCTCTCCAATAAAAATCTCTTTGAAACAATCAATTCTCTTCACCCGCATGACTTTTTGCGAACGGATAGTTATTATTATTGTAATTGTGAGAAGCCAAGCTGGGTAGTAGTGATGTTTTTGAAATGAAATAGTATGAAATACAGTAAAATAAAAAACGAGGCATATTACATGGTAAAGGAAATGCTCGTACTTTAGAAATCAAAGATATAGAGAAATGGTACGGTGACGCACAATCATAATAAGGGGCTCAAGAGTACAAGGCAAAGCATGGAAGTGATAGAGAAAAGTCAAAAAAGAACTAGTCGTCGTTTAAACGATAGTTGATGTATATCTTCAAGTCTCTCCGTATATAGTAAAACAATGAACACTATAAACAAGGGAATAGTATATTTGCTTTTGATAGGACACTCACAAGGTAACCATAATAATGGCTTGCTTGCTATACAATAGGTCGAAGAACGGATAATACGAGGTCATGTATATTTTTTTTAACGAGTATGGTAAATGCTAAATTTCGAGTATGTGGTTTATTGTAACAAGGGATCTGTTGGAGGTAGCATGAGGGTATCTAAATGATATGAAAGCTGGTAATATTGGAACTAATATACTGTAATTTACAAAGTATGGGAATGACCAAAAGGTTATCTTTTATTGAAGCAGACAATAATCAGCACTAATCTCCTAAAAGCGGTGATAATGGTAAAAAGGGATCTATTGCACAAAAC